GTACACGCTGGGCGGTCAATGTCACCATGACACCCTTCCATTTGCATAGGAACTGCTGCATTTTATGTATACGGTCCACGAAGAGGAACACTACCAGACACATGGTCACCACATTACGTTCATGAGGAATCACCACATGGATTGATTTAATGACTACTTGACTACGAAGACATCCAAAAATCGAGTTTATCACAGCCTGCTTCGACTTCAACGGTTCTCAGCCCGCTACAGTTTTCGCAGCAAGTGCCCTGCTTCACAAAAGTCCCTCAAGCGGTTCTTACCGAGACCCAGGCGAAATTTGCTGCTGCATTTTGGGACAACTTTCGTGACACTGCGCCATGTGATATTATCAACGTGGACAAAACATCCGTTTACTACGATACGCCCCCGACAAAGACTCTTGCCAAAGTTGGAGGATCGTCCAAGGTTGACAAGAGTCAAATGCACTCCGACAGGAATACAACCGTCCTCTCTGTGCGTTTCGATGACGAAAAGCTACCAATTCTTTTCATCCAAAAGGGCAAGCCAGGTGGGCCGATCGATACCTTGGAAGTAACGACATTTCAACCTGGTCATGTTTACGTCGTGCGAGTTAAAGCGTGGATGGATACAACAGTCTGGGAACTGTATCTGACTGAGCTGCTCAAGTTCGAAATTAATGGGCCTTCTGTGATTTTAGCTGACAATCTTGACTGTCACATGTCTGTGGCACCGCATGATATGGTGTCGTCTGAATTGTTTAGCGTTTTGGAAGTATTGCCCAAGAATTCGACAAGTGTTCTCCTACCTTTGGATGTTGGTGTTATGGGGCCATTGAAGATCAAGCTTCGTTTGAGGTGCCTTCACGAAAAGCCGATTGTGTCTGCAGCCGAAAAACGCATGGCTGTGGTTATTGAAGCTTGGAAAGACATGCCATGTGGACTAATCACTCGCTCATTGAAAATGCGTTGTCATGGACTCCTGTATTGTACCTTGTCACTTGAAAACATGTTTCATCTTCGAAATATTTGTAGTCTTCAGAAATATTGTTGTATTGGTTGCTGGTCGTTGTGGTCGTGGCTGAGTTTGAAGTGTTCACTTTTCTACCAATCATTTTGGATATGGACCTCACAGTCCGCGAGAGCATCGAGGGGGTTCTGAGAATTTTTGAAAATTGATAATAATATTACAGGGGCTACATTTCAATGCTGAATTTGGCACTACCTGCAATATGAAACATCAAGAAATATATTACCTCATACGAGGAATACAACTAATGGAGGTATTTCTTGCTAATCATCTCCATCTCTGTCACATGCGCTTGAGGACGACATGCCGTCGTCAAAGGATGTGTCGCATTCATTTTCATGGAAACTTTGGTCTGAACCCTCTGATTCAGCATCCCGTGCAGCGCGATCAAGTCTGAATAGCTTCTCTGTCGACGAAGCTATGGTGTTGTGGATGACTTCTGTGTCCAACTCATGAAAGGCTTTGCTAGGCGATCTCGTACATCTTGAAATGTCGTTGTTGAGGTATAGGCACGTCCCACCGATCCCTTGACGTTTGCCCACACCATCTCGATAGGCTGCAGCTCAGAAATCCCGGGGGCAGAGTAGACAACATGATACCCCCGAGCCTTGGCCATTTCGACAACAACAGGATGGACGTGTTCGTCCAAGTGTGTCAATTTTCTTCGGGGGACTTGAAACTGGTGGGAAACGATCCGCCCAATCAAGGCGGTCATTTTGGCAGTTATTTCATCGAAATAGGCCAAGATATGAAGGAAATTGATCAAATTGAGTGATTTTTGGTACATTTTGTGCAGGTATTTTGATGGATGATGAAAAGTCATATACAGAAATAGAAGGGTTTCTCCAGTTCGCGATATATTTTCTTCCATCTTTCCAACAGCACTTACTCATTCATTTTCACGAGTAATTGAACATCATGGGTTCATTTGTGTTAAGTTTCACTGTTTTTCAATCATATCGTGGAATTCATTTCATTTCAGAGGATTACAAAATTACTGAATTTTAAAAGGGTTGACGAGTAGAATGCACCAAACCTTGTGAAATTTGACCAATTCTCTGCCCATAAACCTCTACAAGTCCCCTCGATGCTCTCGCGGACTGTCAATTCGACAACAGCTTGAATAGAAATACTGACAATTCTCGTTGAGGGTAATTTTATTGCCTATGTAAATTACAGATATTTCACTACTTCACCTCATTTGTCAAGTGTGAATGAAGGAGCCCTGAATATTTATATATTGGCATATATTGAATTATGAAGTTCCCTGTTCACTTCAGTTGCCTTTGGAATATAGCAAATATCAGGTTTAAGGAGTATGCATTTGAATTCCAAGTTGGAGCGAATGTTAGCATGTCGCCGACAGACAACTCCACACCGCCCCGACAAGCTACGGGAAGACCTGTGGCCAAAAACCGCAGACGTATTGTCCTCCACAACATCAAAGACTGTACTTTACATACGCCAAGCAGCTTTACATTATCAATTGGAGAAAAGAGCACTCTATGGACTTGACACTTGACCGCTTCTTTGGTGGGACTCAAGGGACTGCACGGCTGTCCGCACAAAATGAGTGCTCCGGTGGGAAAGCAACCGCGCTCACTTCACGAAGAAGGCTAGTAATCTTGCTACAGCGTCGCAAATGAACTCACACATCACCGGCACTGCAACTACGCTGGCTAAAGAGCACGAAGAACAAATTGTCAAGTAGATAAAACGACCTTCGTTCAGACGGAATTCCCGTGAGTAGTGTCCTGTTGCAATGTAAGGCGCTAGAAGTAGCAAAAGACGTTGGGCTCAAGGAACACGAATTCAAAGCTAGCTAGCTTCATAAAACGATTACGAGTTTTATGAAGCGCTGGACATTAACTATGCGAGCGAAGACAAGATCTGGGCAGTCCAACCTAGAGCGCGGTCAAGCTGCGTTGGCAGAGTTCAGCAGCCGCAAACACAACTTGATCGCAACCGAAGATATTGAAGAATCTCTACAATGCGGATCAGACAGGAACCAACTACGAGTACATTAGAAAAACAATAATTGATGGCGCGGGGTCAAAGACCGTGTGGGTTCGTTGTTCCGGACACGAGAATGACCGTATCACGGCGATGGTGCTGGCCAACACCAAGGGGACAAAGTATCCCATGTTCTAGGTCCTAAAGTCAAAATAGTCAAAGATCAAAGAGAAAGTGGTCGAGAACCTGACGCAATGAAACGGTTTAGGGCCTGTCGTGTGGCCCGAAATCGAAGTGCCCCAAGAACGGTATCCCTCACGCTTGTACGGCAACCGTACGGCATGGTGGAACAGTGAAATTTCCAAAGATTTCCTGAATTAGCAATAGCAAAGGCCATGACCTCAAGAAAATCTTGCTCCTACTGGGCGATTTTTGTGCTCATTTTTGTGACGATGTAGTTAATCGTGGCTTACTTGTGTTGCAAAGGCGAGTACAGGATCCAACGTGGTGCATTGGTATGTAGGAGAGCTCAAAATGGCCACCGCGGACAAGGTCGCGGAGAAAGTAAAAACGCAGGGCAAAGTGTTTGGTCCGCTGGATGCTGGACTGGTTTGTTCCAATTGCGATGGCGGACTGATAGTCCAGGTAGAGCGTCGTCGCCTTGTTGTTTTCGGCATTGATTTCGTTGAGTAGGTTTGAAATGAACATTCCATGTTGAGCTGCAAGGCAGGCCCCGACGTATTCCGCCTCCTTAGACGAAAGCGTTACAATCGACTGCAATTACAATCGACTGCAATTTGAAGCGCCAAGCAACCGGGCCGCAAGAAAGCATCCATAGGTACCCACATGTTGAGCGACCTGTCCGTTTGTCCTCGTCCCAGGACGAATCCGAAAAACCTACGAGCTCGATACTCGCTCGCGGCACCCCGTTGAAAGAGATCCCAAGAGCAGAGTGATTTTCGACTGCATGGACCATACAGATTGCAAGGTTGTGGGATATGGCCACATACCTGGACTCCTTCGTCGAAACACACCATGCGGCTGGAACTGCGTTTTCCTCGGAGAACGAATGTGATGGCGACGATTGCGCCTCGGGTGACTACGCTGGTGATGTCTAAATCCTCTAACAGTCAATGGTTTTCAAAATGAATACTGTCACTGCATAATTACCCAAGAGGTTGTGACCTCTGGAATTTATTGAATTATCGGGAAGGTCGGCGGTGCCTTCGGCCATCGTTCACGCAATCGAACAGCTCCGTCATGAAACAGGACTGGAGGGGTAGAAGCACAATGAAGCCCAGGCACATGCAATGGAAATGGAAGGATGGATGTGGTGCAGCTAACTCACAGTATTGCGGCCACCTTTGACGGACAACTACACCCAAAGTGGCCTCTTGTTTGGTGTATCCAGGTATGTAGATCCATTGGTTGCCCGCAGGTAGTGCTGTTGCTTGCGTGAGCCAGTCCATGCCGTGGTAATCCACACCAGTCAGGCCATGAGGGTTACTCGACGTGGCAGGGCAAATCGACGGCATGAACAAGGGCTAATTGTCACCGCGATCGTCACGGCGGAAACCGCGATGGATGCATGGAGTGGCCCACGTGGGTGTCTCGAATGGAGTCAAAGGTTGTGCGCGACCAGAAGGCTCGAGTTACCCGTTAATGGCGATTTCTTGCGAGAATTTGCATCCATGGGTGACGTTTTTCGCGGTAAATTGGGCATTCAAATTTGGAGGTGCGGACGACGAAGCGCGAGCCTGAGCACGCGATCGATAGCTTGCACGGTGATCAAAATGGTTCGGTCGTGACGCGCGACTCTGGATTCCGTGCGTCATTTTCATGAAAATCGTTCGCATGAGGTAGGTGGGGAAGTCTGCTGCATCAGAAGGGCGTGGGTCGAGACCAGGGTCGAGACCAGGCTTCCCCCCTCGTGCGACGACACGTCGGCCGTTGAGATGCACACTAGGAGATGTCCGCTCATGCGGCAATACATCATCGACAACGAAGGGAGTATACGCATGGACCCGTGGGTGGTAGAAGCGATGCCGTTTCCTGGGGCGTAGTCTGTCGGCTCCTGGAGCAGCATTCTTTGCTCAAGGCGACCGCCGCCAGCAACTTGCCAGTCAGTTGTCCCATCGAGTGTACAGCCACTTCAACGCCTCGTCCATCTTCATGCCAAACAATCGTAATCTTATCCACTATGTCTATCCTCTATCTGGCGACCACACCCAATCTACTCGTTGTGCGCTTGAATAAAGTCCGTCAGGGCGGCATCCACGACTTCCAACTCGTTGAGAACTTGAGCCAAGTGCTTCTTCATGACGGCTTGCTTGGCGGGAGGCAGCGGGGTCAAGTCGATATGTTCCAGTGCGAGGACGCCTTCGACAAGCAGCGGCGCGACCATGTGGCTGAGGTAGATGCCGGCCTTGGGGATGTCGATCTCGATATCGTCCAACATTTCGACAATCTCAAACAGCGACGCGGCAATGCCTGCCGCATCCACGAGCCCTTCCGACGCCAGTCCGTTCAGAAATGGCCCCACGGCACGGCGCTCCGCTTCCTTTTGATCCAGCGCAAAGTTGAGAATGGTCGACGTCACTGCCTGTGTGTGGACGAGAGCATCATGCAGCTGCGCTTGGACTTCGGCCAAGTCCTGTTCGGCCACATACTCCTTGAACATACGCTTGGCGACCTTGATCAAGTCTTCTTCGGTACGCGCGGGCGTCGGTGCCGCACGCTTCTCCGGCGACGGCGGGGTGTTGCGGGGGCCGTTGCTACGAGGCACGGCAGGCGGACGACGGGATGAAAAAGGACCATCGCGGCTATCCAACGAGCTGCGGCGATCGCGTTCGATCGACCCACGATGGAGCTTCGCCTTGCCTCGGCTATCGTCAATGCGCTTGTCTACCCGTGAGCGGTTAGCCAGCCGTTCCCCAGTCAAATCGAGCATTTTCCATTCTCCACCACGATATTCGGCAAAACACGGCGCCATGCACCACACTCGTGCGCGCAACCACAAATCGTTTGCACGTACCCGATCGAGGCGGGTGCAGCGTGCGGATATCCGCCGACGCACTCTTGACAAGCTTGACCTTGGCTGGCACGGTTTCCCATCCGTCTTTGGATGGCGGCGCGGCGGGAGACGGCGGCTGCGAGAGCTGCGCCATGCTCTGGCTCTTGGCGAGCTTGGGCTTGGGGGCAAAGCTTCCGCCAGACGATGCTTTCTGCTTTTCTTCACGCGCGGCTTGTGCGTGTACCTCGGCAATCGTCGTCGCCTTGGCTTCCTTGAGGCGAGACACATATTTGTTGGCGCGCATGTCAATCAAGTCCTGCAGCATGAATCGCACGCGGGTGCACAGCTTGTCCTTGGCTTGGCTCAACGTCGCAATAATGTCGAAGTACTGCTTGATGAGCGCCGCTTCTTGGGGGACAGTGGCGGCGCGGCCTTCGAGGCGGAGGCCGACGGTCGCGAGCAACTTGCACAAGCACTCGAGCGATTCTTCGTCCGGCTTGTCCGTGTTGCCAAAGAGACGTTGAATGCATTCGTGCATCGTGCGCGACGACAACAGGCCTTGCTTGAAGAGCTCGCCAATGAAGCGAATGTGTCCGAGAGTCGCGCGTTTGAGCAAGAGCTGCTTCTCGGCTTCCGCGGCACTGCCATCTTCGGTCGGTGCATCGACGACCGTCGCCGTGGATTGCAGCGCCGACACTTCAAATTCCTTTTGGCACCGTGCAAGCAGAAGCGACCGAAACATCTTGGCGCCACTGACCGCTTCGGCTTCGCCGTTCTCGGCGCTGACCTCGATCAATGGCATCGCCGTGCGCGTCACCTTGGCACACAATTCGGCATACATGGTCGAAAAGTGCCATTCCATTTGCGCCTTCTTCACCACCATGTCGATCGCGCCTTGGAGTACGTCCACACTCTTGACCGCAACGTCAATGAGCTGGTCCGACAACCGATCAAACTTTTCCACACTCAGCTTGTTGAGAATGGACTGGACTTGCGCCAGGTACTCATCGGTCGTCAAGGTTGCGTTTGCCTTGGCTTTGTGGTCCTTGGGCTTCCACCGCGTTTCCTCGTTGATGCTGAGCGGTTTGACTGGCGGCAAATCTTCGTCCGCCACAGTCGACGACGACTTGTGATGCTTGTGGTGCTTCTTTCCGCTCTTGTGCTGCTTGCGGTCGCTGCCGCGGTGGTGGCTGTCGCCCTTTGACTCCTTGAACGCTTGACGGTTCGCCAGCACGACGCCTGGCTCGGCCACGCAGATTACCAGACCGGCAGGGACAGGGCACGTCTGCCGGTAGTCGCGCCATGTGAGAAAACATTACAACGACCTAGCATGGAACAGTACCGCGGGCTCCATCGACAGCATTTCTGCCAACGTGTACTTGATTCGGCGTTTGCGAGAGGTTGGGGACAACGGCTCCGTGGTCGTGTTGGCTGGCTGCTGCTGCTGCTGCTGCTGTTTGGTGGGCGACCCCTCGCTCTTGACAGGTTCCTTTGTCGGCGTCGAGTTCGACGAGCTAGTCGACGTGGTGTCACTGGGCGTTGCAGACACCGGGGACGTCGGATGAAATTCAGCTTCTGGTTCGGCTTTTGCAACAGGGGCCGTTGCCACCACAACCTCTTTCGGCTTGACGTCGTCGGCAACAACAATCGACACCTTCTCGATGGCCGCAACTGGTTGCTCGACAACGGGAGCGACATCGGTCGTCGTAGCCGCTGGCTGCACAGCAGGAATCAAGACTAGACATGCACGCACGCGTGAGACGGAATCTTGACTGAGCAAGAGGAATCGTGTAAGGCTCAAACATACACGATGGAACGAATTCTTTCGCGGTTGGTTTCAAGATCGGGCCGGCAGGCGGCGCCGCGGCAACGACCGGCGTTGCAGCATAGGATGGAGGCTGCCACACCGGAGCGTTCGCCGAGAAAACGAATGCCGGCGCAGAAGCTCGTAGCTTGGTCTTGGGGGCCGACGGCGGCGCGGTCGGCGACGTGGTGTCCACCATCTTCAAAAGTGAAGTTGCCCTTCATGTGCGCTGTCACCAACCAAAGTCGCGTTCGGAATATCCGGATATGCATCCGGACGAGCAAGACGACTTGGGTTTTGTATGACGGTCCGAATCCGTCTCGTGCGTTTTTGCAATTTTTCGACACCTCTTGACGTAAAACAATGAAAATAATGCGAAAAATGGTCCGAATTCACCTGAAGCTGCCACGTCTCTGGGGTTCGCCGCAGCGACATCGCGTCACCTCATGTCGTCGCGGTGGCCAACCATTCCACCACCCCCCCCTCCACACACACACGGTCAGGTCGCCCGCGACAGACCTAGTTTTCTTGTCGAAAGCAGACACGTACCGCCATTGCCCATGCGATCCACGGCGGAGTGACAGCTTTGGCTTGTTTGGACCTAAGGAATTTGTAGTGTGGATGCTGGGTTCATGAATATGTTTCTGTTGGTGAGGACGAGGGCTTTTGCCGTAGCAGACGACGAGTCGAGGGTTGCAGCAATGGCATCGTTGTGGTTGGGGCGTGCAAAACGTGAAATGATGTCAGAGGGACCAAGGTGGCTCAGATCGAGATGCGGTCGACCAGCCACAGCTTCCTGCTGGCTATGCCCGCCCGGTCGAACAGGCGCTCAGGTCGACCGACACCCGCTCCACGACCTGGAATTGAAAACCCGTCAAACCGACGAAAAGCGCTCGAGAAATTTAGCATGCGCACAATTCAACCAGAACTTGGCGAGGTCCCGGCAACCAAGTGCATGACACGAGTGGAAATCAAGCGTCGCACGGTCATGGAAGACATGGTTCCAACATTGCAACAGGGACTGCTAACTCAACGGTGGGGAATGCCAAGGCAATCTATCCTCTCTTCCCATCCAGCTTCTAGCGACAATTCCATGCGCATTCCCACACGGACGACGACGCTGCATGGACAAAGCGCCGACGTGACGGCACGGATTGCTTGGCAAGTGGACGAGGCCTGTCATTGCGCGCAACCGTGGCAGGTAGGTGCGTGTGTTTGCTCGAAAAGGAATGCCACGGGCACCGAGCGCCACGCAACTTGTACAACTTGATTACACGATTCCGCCTTTGACTGCGTAGTGGTTCGCGTTTTGAATTGTGGGTTCGTTGTAGAATTGCTGGTTGTACCCTTGTTGGTACGGCTGGTGGCCATGGTGCATGTTGTCTCCAAACGATTCTTGGTTCGAAAAGGCCCCTAACGACGACTCCATGTCAAACCACCGACGCACCACGTCCACTCGTTCCCAAACGGCCCACGATGCAATGCCAACCGTCCATTCATACAAGCCAAGGACATGCAGAAACAACAGGCGCGATTTCACACGTATCGACGCATCGCTGCAGGATCATCGCCACAGGAATTTTGACAGTACGGACACCACCGTTGAGCAGCGTTTCGAACCACAGCAGCCATCACGAGCTCGCAACGCGATCCCTCGACAAAAGAAACCATCTCGCTGACGTACCCGACGGTGCTACATTTGCCGCGGTCGCCTCCATGGACTGCTGCATGGCAATTGCCAAGTCGGCTTCATATTCTTGGCGAAAGTGACGGATTTTCTCGGCTCGCCCGGCAGAGCTCGTGTACATGGTGATGAGCATGCCGACGACACCGCCGATCGCAGCCCAGAAGCTGTACCCATAGAACCAGCAGCTCCAATTGGCCGTTTTCTTTTGGCACAGCACATACGCCGATGATATGACGTCGATTTCGAGCATCTTTTGCTGGATTTGGATTGCCCACACGATCAGCGCCGCCAAGAGGAGCAGGGCTACAACCACCACGTGCGTCAGCGTCGTCTGAAAGCAACATTGTCTGACAGCCTACAGGAGATGAGGGTCGTCGACGACACAATGCGTTCGGCGTAGCCAGCGGCCGGGTTGAAACACGCGGCGACCGAAGCAATGAGGCCAAATGCTACGAACAAAGAATTGGGGGCGTAAGGGTGCCGAACATGCCAGCCACTACACAGGAGCGGTTCCACAGGACACTAGGCACAATGGTATCCAGCTACTTTTCGAGGAGCATGCATTTCTCAAGTGGACGACAAGTTCGCAGATTCCTAGCATGGAATCGAATTTTGCAACCAAAAAAACATGGCGCATGTGGAGAGCACGGCAACGGGTATGAAGCGATCGAGAAGTCACCAGAGGACGAACATGAGAGCAAATGGGACGTACCGGCAAAGACGGATGCAAAAAAGCTCACGTACTGAATGCCCTTGATAGGGTACCCGCACAAAATTTCCTTGAACTGGGCGTCGCCGCCGAGCATCCAGTTCGGTGGAGGTAAGCCTTTTTCTTCGTTCGCACAGAATTCCGAGTACGCGAGCGTCGTCTCCGACGCATAGAATGGACCCTGCAGCGGCTGTGTCGAGTAAAAGTTGAAGATTCCAAACCCCTGAAACACGACGGGGTCGTGTTCCTTGTACTTTTGCTGGAACCATGCGGGGTAGATGGTCGAGTACGTGCACACCGCCAACGACATGAACGAGAAGAACACCGCTACAGGCGCAACATGGTGATCAACAGACAGATCGGATGCGCGCGTCGTACTGATGATCGTATTCTTGAGCGGTCCGTTGCGCATCGTGGAAGGTGTCGGCGCCCTTGCTCGCGTGTAAGCAACACTGCCCAGCTCTTTGCCGCTTGCCAGAGCAATATCCGGATAACGAATCCCCTATCCGGTAAACCCTGTCCACTTGGGCTCAAGTCGCGTTTTAATCACCCCTTCGAACGTTTAAACGTGACAGACGTATAAAACGCCACGAATCCGCAGCGGGATTTACAATACAACGCTTTTAACGTTGCGTTTTTAAAGCAGAGGTCGAACTTGCCACGATTGTGACAGATGCTAGCCTTCACTACAGGAGCACCCTTGGAGAAGTCAAACGTGGGTCCCCCACCTAAAATTTTGGACGTTGGCGCGTATGATGCTACAGCAGCCACCGTAGTACCACAGGAATAGTAGGTCCATTGGTGGACCTAACAAGCGAGGATTCTTAAAACAGGAAAATCTGATAGAGTCTATTTGTGCACACAGATGTTTTGTTGCCAATTCCTCCAGAGTACATATTATTGATGAAAGTGCATTAAGGAAAAATATATATTCACGAATAATGTATGATTTTTTACCAAAATATTCCTCCTTTACAAGTCCAAGCGTTGCTGCGTGCCCAAGCGGCGTTGCTCGAAGGATGGTCGTTGTTGCTGTATCGCCCACTGCTGCTCCATTTGAAGGTCCAGTTGCTGCTGAAGCAAACTCAGGTCGATGGCTTGTTGCAGTTCGTGGGCTTCTTTGGATTGCTGCAATGCCAGCGCCAGTTCCCGATCAACCAGATCGCCTGCCGTGCGTGTGGTCAAAAGGGGCTGGAGGCGAGTGTCGTTGTTCAGTGTGGAGTGGTTCGCTTCTGCCAAAGCTGCAGACTCTTGCAGGGCAATGACCAAGTGGTGATCGTATGCCTTGCGGTTTTGACGGAGCTATGGAAACCAAAAATGAGCACGTGCCACAAGCCGAAGAAAACTTCACCTTGGCTGCACGACCGGCGGCACTGGCATACGTCGTGACCAGCAAGCACAAAACGGCAGCGATGGCTACCCAGAAACTGTACCCGTAAAACCAGCAACTCCACGATGCACTCGATCCTTGTAGGGATTGGCATTGACTGTACGCAGTTTGAATCACGTCGATATTGAGAAGCTTTTGCTGGAACGATACACTCCACAGCACGAGCACGGCCAGCATGCACAGCGCTATTTCATGCGCCACCATCGAATCAGTCGGACACAAATATTTCCAAAATTCTAAAACATACAATTACCACAAAATATCATGAAATGATCAAAATCGAAGAAATGAAAATTCCTGAGAAGACCATCAAGCTCCGAGGGGATATTGGAAAAAGCGTACAAGACATGAAGGTGCTGATGGACACAGTTCGCTCGGCCGCGCCCGCAACGGGGATGAAGCATGCTACAACGGCTGCCACAAGGGCCAGGACTACATTGTTGCAACGGAGATCGTGAGGTCGACGGAGAACTGTCGATAGAAAGACCTGCAAAGCCGGCGGCGGAATACATGACGCATTGAGTGGCAATGACTGCGGTGTCGCAGAGAGCGTCGTTAAACGCAGGACCGTGTCCAAGCATCCAGTTTGGAGATGGTTTGTTGGCCGCAAATCGCTCGCAGAAGTCGGCGAAGAACAGAGTCGTAATGGACGCGTAGAACGGGGCATTGAGTGTGTTGGTCGAGTAGAACGCAAAGAGGCCAAAGCCTTGGAACGTTGTCGGGGCCGCGGCATCCTTGGACGGGGAATATGTTTGCTGCGACCATGCTGGGAAGATCAGAGCAAACATGCACAGGCAGAGAGAGACGAAGCTCAGGAACACCGCTATATGATGGCAAAAGCTACATGGTCAGATTCTCGATGGAGACAACGTGGAGAGGCATACTTAGCACGGAGCTTCGCATGAAGCGAATGCTCTGACACCGAGCCGGATGCATCGTCTCGGTGTGTGACCCTATTTCCTTCGCGCACTGTACCCGAGCCAGGTGGGGGGATGAGTTTCTGCCCAGGAGTGATAGTAGTGAAGTGGGGCGGAAGACATTTCATAGTTTAATCAAGTTTAAACGGAAAATTTTCATTCGGACATGTCGCTATGAAGCGTAGTCACGACCAGACGACGCGGAGTTTATTACAAAAATCAAGTTCAAATGCATCACGACATGGACTCTAGCTACCGTATCCTTTCTCCGCCGATTAGATGTTCGCTAGTAGGTGTCTGTATTCGACGGATTTTTCTGATAAATTGGGATTTATTCAATCCAAATATTTAGCGGTGGGTAAATATCTCCTCGCGGTCGTGGTCTAGCGGGCAATCCATCGCCGCTTCGAGATGACGCCGTCATGCGTCGCGTTGGTGTTGTCCTTGTAGCCACAGCGAATGCGCGCAAATAAGACCTCGGGCGTGTGTTGAGGGCGATCTTGTTTCGATAGGGCGGTCGAGGAAGGGCAGCGGCAAGCGTGTGCAAGCGACTTTGATCCAAGGAGGCAAATCGAAACGTGAGTTAAGAGTGTTAAGCTATCCTTTGACTTCAGTGCCCTCTTCAACTCATATGCAAGCAGTGACGAGTGTTCTCAACACGTTCTTCATGATACTGCCGACGACCATGGCAAGACGCAATGCACACACGTGAAATGTCAATCAGTGATGCAGGGTGCCAAGTTCGTAACCGGCTTGGCCGGATAGCACCGTTCGTCAACAGCGTCTGCATGTCCTCTGGCGGACGCGCGCCACGATCGAGAACGTATGGTGTGTGTCGGAAGGTCCACGAACAAACCTAAAGTGAAGTCGTTCGAAGCCTTGCCAGGACAGAACTGGTGGTTGCGGACGGAATCAGGTGGAATGGCCGCATCTTTCTCATCGTCATAAATACGTGGTCGTTCCTAGCTTTGTCGTGGACGCAGCAGCTGTAGATATATACCCCGCTTGATCGAGTTACTTGATTGCGACGACGGAGCACTTGCCCAAGCCGCGCACGGAGATGCGGCAAGTCCTTGCCGCAGCACGTGGCAAGACGCCAGCTGAAGCTGTAGAATGTCTTCGCCAACGCCTGCAACTCGATGGGGCGAGCGATGCACGTTGGCCGCCATTCACCGACGCATATCACGCCATGGAAGCCCTAAATATCGCGTTCATATTACAACTGTACACGCTAACCTCATTCTACACGACACTACAAATTCTACACTACACACCGACCTATTCGCCGCACGGGACGGGGTTCAACAGGAACGACAGACGCATCGATGGGATGGACGACACAAGGGATGCGGATGCCACGGTCGGCTTGGTCAGGGAGTGGCAGGCTGCTTCCTTGAGTTTTCGTCGTCGCTCGCGTTGGTACGCGTTGCGTCTGTCTCGGTTCTTGCGGTCGTACGCTTTGGCGTACGCGAGAATTTTGTCGCGGTTGCGGACGTACCATTGCTTCTTGCGCTCGAGGTCGCGTTCGAGGTTCTTGGCGCGATACGCTTTGAAGCGTCCGAGTTCTTTTTCCCGGTTGCGCTCGTAGTAGTCTTTCCCGTACGCGCTAAACTTATCCTTGTTGGTCTCGTAATACACCTTCATGCGCGCTAACTCTTTGTGTTTGTTCTTCGCGTAATACGCTCGGCGGTAATCGGCGTTCGTGCACACCGTCGTGTCAACGTCGCTGTGGCTGCTATAGGTGTCAATTGACGTCGCGCTGGGGCTGCGATGCATGATGGATCGGTCGCGACGGATTCCAAGTGACCATGATAGCGCCGCGGGATTGCCACCATGTCGGTGTGACACCACGGGGTTCTTCTCTCGGATTGGTTCACAGCTGTCCAATCAAACGCTGCTATTTCGTGCGGCATACACAGAATCCACCAATGAGTGGCCGTTGTTTCGCCGTCGTGATTGAGCCCACTGTTGACGTGCTGGGCGACCACATGACTTGAAATTTGTATACTGGTCAGGTAAGAGGTGGTCATGCATATATTTTGAATATCCTTAGAATAAGAGCAGGGTCGAGGGAATTGCTTGATGCAATAGAGTATACAGTTTGGATTGAGTTCTTTAAGCCAGGGATAACGAATCCATAAGTCGCCCAGTCGACACGTTGGCCGACGTCCGTTGCTTTCGTGGGTGGGCGAGTTGCTAAGCAACGCGGGCGAACGTGAAGGGATCACACGGTGCCGACGGAGGGGGCGACACGAGCGTCGTGGATGGAGGGGCCACGATTTTCGTGGAATTTATGAATGGCTGGCATTGATCTCTTGAGGGGCTAGACGCGTCCTGTAGCCATTCAAGTGACTTGCCGCTTCGTTTCGGTGGCCATGTCATGTGAGTGACGATCTGGCGAGGTTCATCGCCAGAAGTGTGCGCTGCGACGCTTGGTTCCCCAACTTGAATAAAATTTCTTCGTGCGGACGCCAGGATTTTGCTCTTCGTGTCGTGGCCAGAAGCGCAGAAACGGAGCTTTGCCAGGTCTTGGCTGACTTGAATGTGTCGAAGACTGGTTCTTTGATGGCAAACGAGGGATATGATGTGGGAGGCATGGAATGTCCACATGCTGCCATCACCAGGCACACACCAGACGGCATGTCACTCACATCATATGTCAATCGTGTGTGGCTCATTTTGCTGCCTGACATGCTGCACGACCACCACATGGACGACTTGTTTATCAATATGGCGACGTGTTACGAGAGCGCTTGCAATCAGGATGTCCTGTTGTTGTTGCGTTGGGGGGTGGCTCGCGGCGTCGTGGGGCAGCGCCACGTGTAGCCAATCCAATAGCGTGTATGTGTCGCACGTGAAACGGGTGTAACTGCTGCCCCGTAATTCGTAACGGCAGCATTACAATCCAGCAAGCTTAGATGCAGGGAAGACCACCAAAAAGGAGCTGCTGAAAATCGTGGCGGGTGTCATTTGCATGCATCGCTCGCGGGTCGGTGCAATCCCATGTGCCTCCACCGCGCTGGCACGTTTTGAAATGGCCATCGAGCAAGTTCCCCAGGTGATGGCCGCAGAACATTCACATTTCACGCACCCCTCAGCCGGACGCTCTCGAACCTGTTACATTCACCGTGAAACACGGAGACGAACCGAACCGCAGTCTACGGATGCCGTGATGACAGACGCGTTGTGAATGCGCTTTGCAAACGGGGCGTCCGAGCCTCTACTAAGTGGCGTGGCGTAAAGCAACACGTGTCAACGTATTGAAACGTTTGAGCTGCGTGCGTCCAGGGAAAGTGCGATGAAAGCATTCCAATAAATCGCTCATACGAACTGCACGATCCGTGCTTGGCGATGGGCGTGTAGCCCGGGACACTTCTTGAGTTGGCTTTCACATGCTTGAGCCACCCCATGTCACATTGCACCATTGTTCAGGTTTGGTCCAGCTTGCAAGCGGTCGAAGAGGGAGATCGCGTCCTTCATGATCGCGTCACGGATGCTCGGGGTCCCTCGGCGGCGTGAGCCTTAAGCCATGTCAATATTACAGTCGGCGCGGCATGGCTTGATCGGGTTACGTACTGAACTCCCCGCAACCAAGGCACTCTGGGTACCTGAATGTTGCCATTCGACGACTGAGACGTGTGAAGGCGCCCCAACCTTGAGGACCATACAGGACGGACAGAGCAACACTCGAAGCATGTAGCGAATGCCGAATGCCCTTGCAACCTGACGGACGTCCAGGCGAGTGAAGCTCAGTTGTGTGGCATGCGTGGCTTTACCCTGTCAGAATGTTTCGAGGGCGCTTTGTCAAACGCCCCACACACTACGCGACCAATGTGTTTTCCGGTACGTCCTCAATGTCCTGTGTCGATGGCACCCCTTGACGTACGTGCTGGTGGGGTGCTCTCCACGCAACCGAGAATTGAGTGGGCACTCGGGGCGAGGTGAACGCGCTTGTACTTAGGACGTTGCCGGCAATCAAGTCGGTTGACGACGTAAGAGTTGTCCAAGGAAGGAGAGATGGCATCATTGTGTGTCTATTCGATTCCTACTTGAACAAAGCTTGTGGCGGAGCCTAGGCGTCGATGTCAAGGCAAAACGAATGGCGACGCATCGTGACAGGATGTAAGTCAGGCGCTTGCGGCACGACATCGCGCCTCGGACAACATTCGTTTTGAAATCACCCGAATTCTTGCGTTTGGGGCGGGCCGTGGCACCACACACAGTACGAGTGGCGACACAGGCGCGCCCCAGCGCTGGGACGGATAAGGTTGGTGGCCATCACCATGCCAATACGTTGTCCCTGGGCACGACGATCGAGGGCAGTCGAACCAGACATGAACGGTTGACGCATTCGCGAACAGCAGTTCAGAGTGGGTCGTTCGGGAGCTTTCGTCCCTTCTCTCGATGCCCCCGCCATTTGTGCATGGTGTCTCGCTGTTCAAATACTCCTTGGCCACTGCGCGCGCACTTGAAAGCTGAACCTGGTCTTTCGTCGCCTCCAAACTCGGCGGTGGCGTGGTGCACAAAAGTCAGCCCAGTCGGTGCGACAATTCTCGCACTGCTTGACCCAACGCTCGAGTTCCCAGCCAACCGCGGCGTGCGAAAGAAGTGGCGGTGCGAGTTCATCAACATGGGTGGTGTCCCATGCACCCCTCTACCTAGGTTCGCCCGACCACGTGGGCCAGCTGGCTGCAATTCAAGTTGCCTTTACGACCTGCGACGTGGTGGGGTGTTGTTATGCATGCGACAGTCGCCTCCTTTTACACCCGACGGCGGGCCACCTACGCGACCTGACCACGACCTTTACCAATGCAAATTCAAGTCCTGGTCGCGTCAGCGCCGGCTGCACTCGTGGTGCTGGTTCTTTTGGCGTAGCACTTCTTCGTTGCAGCTTTCGAAAAGCGATGCCCGTTGTCTGCGCTCGCACCAACTCACGCAGCTGGGATTGGGGATTCTGCCGCATCTACGTTTTCGTGGCAGTTGTTTCGCCATGGACGCGCGCATATTGGTCGACGACTGTGACAGGCTCATGCGAGCCCGGCGCCGTTTAGATGTGTGCCTTCCTCTGGGACTGCGCCATTGCTCTTCTCTTGCAAACAGGTGCGATCATCCACACGGAAGTACTAATAGAGCGTCAGCAGGTGGCCCCCGTTGTGTCGAACGAGTCGACGACATTATACTCTCGCTTGAAAGCCGTGTCTCCGGCGGCGGCGTTGATGTCGCTAGTAACACTCAGCCCAGAACGGAAGGAAGAAGAAAGAAGAACGGAAGTGGCTCTCGTACGAGCGAAGAGAACCGACCAGCTTTGAACGCGGCCCCCTCCATTGCCCTCACCAAACGATGCTATATCGTGGTGTAATCACCAACCGAACGTTTGGCCCTGTCACACGAAATCTGGTTTTACACATCTCAACACACGCAGACGGGAACTTGGTACGTACTCAAACGAGTACAAGAAGGAGGGGTCACAAGACACGGGGGGAGCAATGATTTTTGGCGACTTTGCCCGATGCCAGTGCCACGTGGATCGCCACGGAGGGTGACGAAGCGGTCCTGTGGTGCTGCCAGTGGAGAGAAACACACAGAATGGCACGGACGCGGACGGGGTCGATTGAAAGATGGTCGGTGGGAGAAGCTCATCCACCAGTTCAGTCCAACGAACCAATGAGGCCACGAATTTGTCACGATGGGACAGTTGCAACGGACTTCTACATGAGGAAAAAGCGTCTCGGCGCTTTCCGATGCAGGACGATCCTGCGACGTGAGGGGCAGGGCTGCGGTGATGAACCGGGCGTGCTGAATCGGACAACATTGACCGTAGTTGACCTGCATTCGTGGCGCCAGCAATCTTGTTTGTAAGCGTACGAATCGAGCTCAAATGAAGGAACAACGGTCGGAATGACGTCTCGAGCTCTGCCCCAGGCGCCCCACCCCCGCGGATTCAGCTCCCCATCGATACATCCTTTTGCTTGGGTGCTCTTGGAGTCGTCTGGCTGGACAGCCGTTCTATCGGGACCAAGTAGGGGCTCCGCATGGAATTCAGTAATCCGTCAGAAACAAGCAAAAGGCACGCCGCCGCACGCCACATCCACCCCTACCAATCTGTCTCACAACGAAGACGGTGGCATCTGGCTTTCTGTATCCTCTGCGATGGTCGAACTTGGTCAGTTTTCAATTTCCGTCCCGATGCGCACACCCACGTCGCCCCAAACTGACCTCCTCCCGACCAAGCGGCACTCGTGCAAGATGACCACTGCCCCCAAGTACAAGATCGCGCCTGTTGGCGGCAGCTCGCGCAACCGCCCGTCACAGTCTGTCTTCGACATTCCGTATGCGTTGGACGGGATCAAATGCCAGGAGCCGTCGCTCGAGCCATCGCCGTTTGTGTTTCACCCGTCAAACGAGTATCAATTGCACGGCGTGGCGGTCAAGCCCCAGTCGTCGGACATTGGCGCCTCGTCCTCGACGTTTCCCACGACGGCGAGCCACCCCACGACGACGCTGTCGTCGATCTCTCGATTTCAAATGTACTACCACTTGCACAAGCAGCACACCACCGAGGCTCCTGCGACGACCAGCCACCGCCGCCGGAACGCCTCGTCCATTGCGTTTTTGCTCTCGTGAGCCGACACCGCACGGAACCACCCAACTTATTAATGCACCCTAATATTATCTCCATTGACACCATTGTCCACTTGGTGCACTTGGATCACGCTAGACGAGCTACGACGTCGTTGTGGATGGAACCCCCCACGCTGCCTGGACACCCCCCGCTCCGTGTACCATCGCCCCGTCGAATCGTGGAAGAAGGGGCGGTCCACGTTGGGCGGTGCACAGACATGTGCTACAACCGATGAAACATGGCGCCATCGGTTAGCTGGCAAGTTCAAGTTGCCATGGCAAAGGTGGCGCATGCCCGCCCAATGAAAACCCTGAACAGGCGGCGTCGAGTGGGGATGTCGCGGCGCAGTGGGTTCATCGGCACCCACGTCGTCCTCAACGCCGCCGCTCCACCCCTTGGTTGCCATGCACGAATTTATCTTCTCGTCGTGACTTGACCGAGGCCATACAAGCTCCGTTGCTGCAACCTCGTCGACTGTAGACACTCCAGGAATACGACCACGTCACGAGCACCAGGAAAAGTACACCGATGAACATGGATGCACGTAATCGACTCGCAAGTGAAAACGCCGACTGTACTGCATGCTCCAACATACAAACCACGTGGTCAAAACCATCCAACACCGTTGCATGTCCGTGCAGATGGACGGATGCTGCGATAGGCCTCCCTGATTGCGCCCATAACAACCTGAAGCTTCGCGCAAGAGAGCCATCACAACGATACTCGTCGCCTTCGACTGGCCCTTGATCGTACCCTTCCTTATCACAGACTTGCTCGTAGCCAAGTTTAAAAAAGTCACTGCGCCATCCGGGAATCGAACCCGGGGCATCTCGATGGCAACGAGATATTTTACCACTAAACCAATGGCGCTTGATGTCTGTGAGATGATTTGGATTACAAAAAGGGACAGGTACGACGTGTAGATCAGGGTCGAATAGCATGGTTGTCCGCAGCTCATGGCAGGTGTCGCAAGAGAGGATACCCCAGAAGGAAGGATGCCTCCGAGATGAAGGGACTCTTTGTTTCGTGCGAGGCGAATACACCACCATCGCGAACGGCAAGTCCCAGGTTGAGTACATCACAACGACAGCGATTTTTTACGACAACATCAAATCCTGACCTGTCACGCAACTGGATCTATTGCTGTCGCATGAGCTGCGACACCATGTGCATCGTGTTGAGCATCGCGACTGTGTTGACTATCCGTAGCAGCGAGTCATCTGTCGAGCGTGCCATGAGCCCTGGCGGGGTTGCCGCGTACGGCGACGGAGCTGGCAGCACGCTTGCGAAATCGGAGCAGTCTTGTCCGTGCGGGGACGTCAAAATGCAGGGCAACGTCCGAGAAATGTGCGCCTGGTCGAATGGTGCACACGACGTCGTTTGCGGCGGCTGGTCGAATTGTTCCAATTTGAGCACGGACGGAAAGAAGCAATCGTCGAGAGGCGTGAGTTCCCCGAGAATCCGATCGAGGGCCGAGTCGTCGCCGCCGAGGTCCTCTGATACGTCCAAGTTGGGCAAGTCCAAGTGCTGCGACATGTTGAAATCGTCAAGCGTAGCTTCGGTTTGGCTGCTACTCCTGCTGCGACGGCCACGATCCGAGGCCACGTGCGACAAGGATCGATGGCGGTAGCACACGCCATTCGCGCGAGCGTGTTGGGAGCACTCGTCGACTTTGCACAGCTTTCCGCCGCCGTGGCGCACACACTTTTGCCGTGCATGCGCCTGCTTGATGCACCCCTCCACAATACAGAGACGTTTGGTCCGGTGCGGCTGCTTGTTTGTTTGGACGTGTTTGTGACGTAAGTGGGGCGGTCCGGCGCTACTGCTGGTGGCGGGAAACGACCGGCAGCAGCCGAGGACGAGGCATTGCGTGCGGTGCTTGTGTGCCGCACACTTGAATACACCGCCGTCGCATGTCGATGCTGGCTCGACGGCGAGAGGAAGGCAGGGTGGGGACATCGGAGACGTGGTACATGGGAGCACTTGTGACGCTGCCATGGCTAGTTTCGTAATGATGGGTTGGCGTTCGATCCAACATGCAAGCTCTGGAACACGATCATCCATCAACAGGGGAAAGTTCGCGGGAGGAACATCGAAGAACAGGACGGCAAGGGACAGCCAAGCGGACCAACACACACAGACAGGCCAGGCGACCGTGTGTGTTGAGCCGTGGAGCGCCGAGGCGCTTGGGGCAACTGGATTGCACGGGCGTTGGTGCGGCACCGTGTGGCGGCTGGCCTAGGGGGCGGACCGCCAGGTCGTGGGGCTAGTCCCTATCATCGCGACGACTCGCAATGGGTGATGCGTTGGGCGGCGGGGTGGGTTTCATTTCACCACCTCCGAGTCATCCAGTACGAAACAGGACCTTGATCTGAGTGCGTATCTTTTTGCATACCTTTCCCGAGGATGCAGCCGTCGCGAGCGCGGACTTCCCGCGGCTGGCGGTACCCCGCATGCCTCGTACGGCGCTCGCGCAATGCGCAAGCCGCGAGTCACCCTAGTATGCCATGGACGGAGCGTTGCGAAGGTTGTGCTTGGGTGATGGCACCTACCATGCAACCGTCGCTTCGGCTACCGATACGGGCGGCGGTGGCGAAAGACCAGCCACGCGGTGGGGAAGACAAGTTTTATCAAGATGAGATATGAAACCTCACCCCACCTCGCGACCAGCGTTTGTGTGTGGGCTGGCGACTCGGCTTGGTAGAACGAGGCAAACGTATGGAGTTGTCGATGCCGCCCGGCGCAACGGGAGACAGGCGGCCTTCGGCCGTGCTTGCACGGGCCCTCCTCCCATGTGCCCTATGCAGGCGCGTGGAATCTGGTGATGCTCCTCTGACGAATTGTCACGATCACATGCTCGGTACGTGCCGTACACGCACGGTGGATGTGATGCGGAGCATGGTTGAGTTCAGGGCAGTGGATGACGAGTGGTTCGTCTTGAGTGCGAGGGTTCTCGGTAGCTGGTGCCAGGGGGCACGGGAAAGTTGATGCCTTGTTGTGCATTGAGACTTCGAGCGCAGCTCCACGACGGACGTACCCCTGACTCGATGCCACAGCATGCACTTTCATTCCTTTGCATGCCAACCAGCCTCTGGAGCTGACCGTCGGCGCGGGTCCGTCGGAGCTGGGGTGAATGAGCAAAGAAGGTTCGGCGCTGCCGACGAGCCGATGGATTTCTGAGCAAAATAAAGTTTGGCAGAGCCAGAACCGCTTGGACAGGTCGCGTGTTCTCAAGACTGCCATGTACATTTTGCTCTTGTACGAGAGATTCGTGGTCCAAGCCACTCGATGCGGTCTACAAAAACGAGCCCTCGCTCCTGCGCCTTCGCCGTCGTTCCCAGTGCGTCGTGCGAGGGCTACGCGTTTTGCGCAAGATGGCATTTTCCCGAATTGATGGCGGAGTCGTTTGGACGAAGTCGTCGCGACGTTGGCGAGGCAGTTTGCCACAGCAAGGAGGGCATATATACTTGAGCTGCGGATTGTTGTGGATATTTGAAGCTCCGGCCCTGGCCATGAGGCATTTACAGCCTCGTTGAAAGGGCTGGTGGAAGTGGGTGTGGCTGGGTGGGTATTTCAAAGGCTGGGTGTTATATGTGCGCGGGGGCTGACAGGAACTCATCCAGTTCACGAATCGTTTCGATCGTTGACGCAGATATGGGCAATGCGATGCCGCAGGAAGCGCTTGAACCCTCCATTCACAAAGACAATCTGTGGTGCGGAATGAAGTGTACAGGCTGCGTCAAATGGACTTGGTCTTTATCACAGTGTGCAGCCAGTCCTTGGGTCGCCAGCCAAAGCTGCTGCGCTGCGCAGCACTCGTTATAGCACATGCGAATCCCCCCTTTCCCTGCACAACGAGCAGAGAATCTCATGGGCGATGCCCCCACGAGGCAACTTTGCCGTGGAACGAACCCAAATCTACTCCACCGTGCAGTTTTGACGCAGGGCCTTCCTGGTGGCGTACAGGAAACCCCCGTCGCTCGTCAGCGCGAGATCATGCGGAAGGTATGCCTGTCCAAATAGCAGCGCGCGTTGGAGAGCGGACAAGTCATCGAGCGAGCTTCGAAGAGTATTATACACTCAACATCCCCTGCTCGATGAAGTGCATGCAAAAACTCCAGTCGCCGGCGATGGCATGGTACGGGAGCATCCTGGACGAGCCAGCGATTATCAACATCCGACTTGCAAGGGAGCCTCGCGTTGCTCGAGATGTTGTCTCTTGTCAATCATCAAGTCAGACATTGAATGAATCGTCTACAGTTGGAGTGGCGCGGCGTCGTCACGGACGCAATCTCCTCCTTTGCAACTCTTGCAACCAGGGCGGATCCAGGGAAACAGGATGTCGCCCCCCTGCCCCCGATAGGAATCGACGCTTTCAATACGTCTGCGGGGAATACGTCTGCAGGTACATGCCTGAGGGCAAGCGGTGCGAAACGATGGCTACACACGGCAAACCTCGTGTCACAGGGCACGGCGTCTCTCGCGGTGTGCGCGGTTCCCTCGATCGTTTTTCACAGCAGGTTGTCGCCATATGGAGTGCCAGAGCATGTCCCCCCAATATCGAGTCGTCCTCGAGAAATTGGATCGACCGTTGGACTCAAGTTGTCCTTTCACTTATGCTTGACACCCATCCTGCGCGCTTTGCACTTGGACCGACATGATCGCTCCGTGCACAAGCTTTCCGCCACGCATGGTCACGACAGTACCGCGCTTCGCTCGAACCATGTCGAGCCGTTGTCAGCGCAAGCGTCGGGAAACTCGCGTGTTCGCTCGGGTGCATAAGTCTTGATGTTGGCCCGACCAACGACGTGGCCCACGCACAACCGCACGGGCTTTCAATTCTCATTGACCTCATGCCATAACCTGCACACAACTACGAACGAATCCATCGACTTGCTGGTAGGGTCTGTTGTCCACGAGCTACGACAGCGATGTCGTTCAGGCGAGGTTTCAATTCGCGTGTACCCCGGGCGTGTTTGTCACCAAAGTCAACACACGTCGCCGAGCCATCATCCAGGGCCTTGGCGCCGTTCCCAATACATGAAATGTGTACGCACACAACGGTGGGTCGACTTGGACTGGCGATCGGCCATTGCCCACACTGACTGTCGGGCGGCGTTTGACCAAGCAATACGGGGCCTACCATTCGCAACTGAAGTTGGAACCAGCGGCAATGGTCCAAAGGACAAAGTCCAAACCTCGTCAAGCGCAAAGGGGCTTGATGACTTCTCGAACGGAGCAATGGATTTGGAAGCAATGCAAATGGTCGAATGCGTCGACGTATGACTGGGGAAGTGCATTTACAACGAAGCGATCCATCGCATCACAGCCTGAACTGCGATCCATGCGCTGTCGATTTATGTCACCCACAGTTGCCACGTAGCGGGGGAACTATACATCGCGGGGATGATGCTCGATGTGGCACGATTGCTCTACCTGCCTTCTTCGCATTGGAGGGCACGTTGAAGGGCTCAATATGCTCGAGTTGAATACCGCGTCGTATGGGTAGGGCGGCGACTACTGGTTGCCCGATGTGTCTTTGGAGTCCTCCTGTTTTATGGCATCCCCACGCCAGAGTCATGGCTGTTGGACAATTCGTCAAGCCATTCTTACCAGGGTCGGCATAGATATATCCCACGGCAGCGCCCATCACTCGACCGAATGGATCGCTCACCTGACGGCGTTCTCGCTGTACCGGGGGCTCGCCAGCGACGCGAGGGCCATCCATTCCACCACGACCATTGTCGTAGAATCCAAGCGCGCTGGCCGTCTTGACCACGGAACTGCGCTTGACGACGGCAGCATTTGCTCGTGTGTTCATTGCACCGTGTGCAAAACGATGCGTCTGGCCCAATCAACCGCTTCAACGCTATATCGTACGGCCGGCCACATTCATGTGACGCATTGTTCGCACTTGCAGGCGTCGCCGCCTGAAATCGGACGTGGTATGCCACTGAGTGAGCGCTCAACGTGCGCTCACACGCGCACGTTCATCGAACGGGAGTTGGAAAGCTTCGAGGCCGAGAGCTTCCCTTGCGACATCGCTTCAATCAATGCACTGACGACCAACTGGGTGGGCAGTCGTTCGATAGCCCATGCATGCCCACGGCTCATACGCTCGTTCCAGGGCAGAGGGCGGTATACGGGCGATGCTTAGCATTGCTGCCTTGCATGCGCATGATCTCGAGTTGCATCGCGGCGGTGGTGTAGTGTGTGGATGGATGGACTGCTGCAGGTTGATGGAGACGGATTGCAAGTTGGACCAGCCGCCATCCGAACGCGGCTGTATGGTAGCTCAGGAACGCAATCCCATGCTGGTGTGGGTCGCCGCCGCAGCAGAAGCAACCTCGCGATGAAACCAGACACAGCGCATGGTTCCGATTCGAATCGACACCATGCCATCATTGACGTTGGCCCGAACAAGTGTCTCGATGCGTATCGTTGTGCCCAATGCAAGTCGTCGAGGTGCGAAAATGAACCAATCATTAGCTCACCTCATGACGTGGTGGAACTACTACGTAGTATATAATAACGCATTAAATAAGATTCTAAATGTCCTATAAATGGCATTATTAAAAAAATATGACCAATCAAAGTCAAGAACGAACAAATATTTGGACCAATTGAATTCAGTTTCGGATGCCCTTGGAGTTGGCAGCACTGCTACTTGGTGAAAAGCCACCCCGAACGCCAAGCGAGCCGCGACGTCCGCAGCTCGCTTGGCGGGCACCTTGGAGCCACCAACACAAGACGGGTGAAAACATGTCCCATGGCGTTGTTGATTTGCCAGCGACCTCGATCCACCAACCGCGACGAATTGCCCCCGATGTCGACGACGGTGGGCACCGACACAAAGTCACAACCGCGGTCTCAATCGATGGACGACAACCGGTGATTGGCGTCGTAGGGTGCTCGATCTCTACCCTCGACAAAGAAAGCGACGAGAGCACGCACACATGAGTGACCTGCGCTTGACGCGCTGTCGAGGCGACTCGATGGCAAAGACCCCCCTGGGCGCTGCCAATGAGACCCCACGTCGTCTGTCAGTGGCTGCTTGGGCTGTGGCTCCGCCGTCCGCGGTGTGCCATGCCCCGTGCCTCGAGCCAATTGCCAGGCACGACGCGCCTGTTTATCCACTCGATTCGCACGGGAACTTCCGTGGATGTATCCACAGCACGGCGTCGCGATTGGCCACAGGCACCATGGCTCCACGGCTCTAGTCAGCGGACAACTGCAATCGGTCGAGCGTAACGATACGCACTCTTGGACTTGCCCTCAGCCATGCACACCGTTGTCAACGACATGACCCCCGCCACCGCGACGAGCCCCCGCGGAAGAGCCGACGCCGGGGATGTCTCGTCCAAACGACAGTACTACAAGGAATGGTACGAAAAGAACAAACTCAAGCGCAAGGCGTACAACGCCAGGAACAAGGACCACGTCCGCGAGTGGCACGCGAAGAACCGTGACCGCGTGCTCCAACACAAGCGAAAGTACCGCGAGAACAACCGTGAAAAAGAAAAGGAGCGCCACAAACGGTACTTTGAGGCGAATCGCGACAAAATCCTCGAGCGCGCGCGGGCGTATCGGGCAAAGAACAAAGACAAGCGCCATGCGTATGACAAGGCGTATAAAGAAAAACACAAGAAGCTCGAACTCGCCGTTCGCCTCCAACAGCACGACTCGCCGTCGTCGCAGGGCCTGCTCCAACTCCTCGCCGGCGTTGTCACCACGTCCCCCGCGGATCCTGCCTGTGCACCGACCGTCCATCGGCACATGCAATTGTCGTTCATTCTGAATGCTGATAAAGCTACGTGAATATTTACTCGTTCCCACCGCGCTGCCATGAACGACGTGGTAGACTTGATGGCACCCTCCCAAGCTAAACAAGTCCACCGCCACGCTTATCTGTAACCCGCAAGTGCTTTGCTCGGGACCTGTGCGTGAATGTACTCGACCCGTTCAGCCCTTCTGCAGCAGCTCCTTGAACGAAGGCACGCTTTGCTAGCCAGGCGAGCGCCGCGGCATCGTATCGTAGGTTCTAGCAAGTTGGACGTAGCCACGATGCTCGCGAAGCTCGTCACGCCTACTGGGCGGCTGGGCCAATGGACCTTTCGTCGCGACATGGATCCATCACATGCCTTTACATGCCTGTGAGCTAGCGTCGTGGATACCGCTATGTTGTGGCCGTAAACGGAGGCTGGGAGCTTGAGCGCAGGGGTGCAGCCCTTGTGCAGCAAACGTCATGTGCATGGAATACCTCGAGTACGTGGCTGCTACGGCGACACGAACGAACGAAGCGCCTCCAATATTTCTTGCCAGAATGCA